GAGCCACCGGCAAGAGAGGGCGCCAGCGAAAGGCATCCTCTATAAGTCTTATAAAATATATAGATTTATGATAATTAAGACTGAGCTAACAGATGAGAATCCTAGTCATTAGCCAAGCAGCATTGTACCTAAAACAAGTCTCTCTGTGCATTATTTGGGGCCCTAACTCGGGTGGGCGGCTGGCGTAGAGCTCACATGTGGTGGTGGGGCTTGGCAGCTTTTGTCGGAAAGATTTATTGTAACAGATTTCTCCCCTGCATTTCTCATTTCCTTCTCTTCTTTCCTTCTTCCTTTCCATATCCTTTCTCCCTTCCCTCCCCACCCTCCTCTTTTTTCATAGCTCTGTCTTTGAACTGATGATACCATTAGCTTCCCGGGTACTGGGACTGTAAGTGTAATTGTAGCCATGCCTCACCTGGCATGGCTTATCCCATTTTGAATAAATGAAAAGTGATGTGTCCAGAAAGATCAGAGAATATTAGGATAGCTAAAGTATGAAGTGAAAAAAAAAGGTTTAATGTTCTAAATTTCAAGATGGTACCTTGAGTCTTCAGCAAGATAGCATTCTAGAAATGAGCATCTATGGAGAAAGAAAATGGTTTACCAAGTATCTAGAGGCTTTTTTAAAATTTACGTAGAGTCCAGCTAGATCATGTAAGATCGATGTCACCATATAGAGCAAACAGAGAACATGACTAATGGAAGTCCCTTGTAGAAAGGAAGAAGAAATGGAAAATATTGGCAAGGGAGGAGGAAGGGAAGAAGAAGGAAGAGGGAGGAAGCTGAGAGACTCTGGAAGGAAACAACTGGTCACTGTAGAGTGACTGTGAGCTTCCCTGGTCTACCACACTTATGCGAACTTGGGACAGGGATTGATGACACATTAGAAACGCAAGGACCCTTAGATGGATTGTGGGAGAGCCAACCCTTTCTAGCACCCCCACTGTGTCCACCATGGCCAAGAAGGGTTCCTCATGGTCTGGATCTCTTTCTACCTCAGTAAGAGGTCACCAACATGCTAAGGACAACACTTCTGTGATGATATCTTGTTTATACTCCTCTAACAAATAAAGCTTGCCTGAAGATCAGAGGGCAGGGCTAGCTAGTAGTTAGCCATAGAGGTCTCTAGATCTGTACAGACAGACAGGAAGTGATATGGCTGGGTGGAGACAAGAACTCAGTCTCTTTTGACTGAGGAGTTAGCAAGTGGGCTGTGGCTTGCTCTTTACTCTCTCTGATCTTTCAGCATTTGCCCTGATATCTGGCTGCAGGTTTTTATTATTAAGACCAATTAGAACTCATGTTATACTATCCTGGTACAGACTTGGGACCAGGGAAAAGTATGCAAGACGGCACAGAGAACACGGTGTGAGCAATGTGAAGAGCACGGGTCTGAGTGATGTGAGGAGCACTGTCTGAGTGATATAAGGAGCACGGGTCTGAGTGATGTGAGGAGCACTGTCTGAGTGATACGAGGAGCACTGTCTGAGTGATACGAGGAGCACTGTCTGAGTGATACGAGGAGCACTGTCTGAGTGATACGAGGAGCACTGTCTGAGTGATACGAGGAGCACTGTCTGAGTGATACGAGGAGCACTGTCTGAGTGATACGAGGAGCACTGTCTGAGTGATACGAGGAGCACTGTCTGAGTGATACGAGGAGCACTGTCTGAGTGATACGAGGAGCACTGTCTGAGTGATACGAGGAGCACTGTCTGAGTGATACGAGGAGCACTGTCTGAGTGATACGAGGAGCACTGTCTGAGTGATACGAGGAGCACTGTCTGAGTGATACGAGGAGCACTGTCTGAGTGATACGAGGAGCACTGTCTGAGTGATACGAGGAGCACTGTCTGAGTGATACGAGGAGCACTGTCTGAGTGATACGAGGAGCACTGTCTGAGTGATACGAGGAGCACTGTCTGAGTGATACGAGGAGCACTGTCTGAGTGATACGAGGAGCACTGTCTGAGTGATACGAGGAGCACTGTCTGAGTGATACGAGGAGCACTGTCTGAGTGATACGAGGAGCACTGTCTGAGTGATACGAGGAGCACTGTCTGAGTGATACGAGGAGCACTGTCTGAGTGATACGAGGAGCACTGTCTGAGTGATACGAGGAGCACTGTCTGAGTGATACGAGGAGCACTGTCTGAGTGATGTGAGGAGCATGGGTCTGAGTGATGTGAGAAGCAATGTCTGAGTGATGTGAGGAGCACTGTCTGAGTGATACGAGGAGCACTGTCTGGGTGATGTAAGGAGCACTGTCTGAGTGATGTGAGGAGCATGGGTCTGAGTGATGTGAGGAGCACTGTCTGAGTGATGGGAGGAGCACTGTCTGAGTGATGTGAGGAGCATGGGTCTGAGTGATGTGAGGAGCACTGTCTGAGTGATGGGAGGAGCACTGTCTGAGTGATGTGAGGAGCATGGGTCTGAGTGATGTGAGGAGCACTGTCTGAGTGATGGGAGGAGCACTGTCTGAGTGATGTGAGGAGCATGGGTCTGAGTGATGTGAGGAGCACTGTCTGAGTGATGGGAGGAGCACTGTCTGAGTGATGTGAGGAGCATGGGTCTGAGTGATGTGAGGAGCACTGTCTGAGTGATGGGAGGAGCACTGTCTGAGTGATGTGAGGAGCATGGGTCTGAGTGATGTGAGGAGCACTGTCTGAGTGATGGGAGGAGCACTGTCTGAGTGATGTGAGGAGCATGGGTCTGAGTGATGTGAGGAGCACTGTCTGAGTGATGGGAGGAGCACTGTCTGAGTGATGTGAGGAGCATGGGTCTGAGTGATGTGAGGAGCACTGTCTGAGTGATGGGAGGAGCACTGTCTGAGTGATGTGAGGAGCATGGGTCTGAGTGATGTGAGGAGCACTGTCTGAGTGATGGGAGGAGCACTGTCTGAGTGATGTGAGGAGCATGGGTCTGAGTGATGTGAGGAGCACTGTCTGAGTGATGGGAGGAGCACTGTCTGAGTGATGTGAGGAGCATGGGTCTGAGTGATGTGAGGAGCACTGTCTGAGTGATGGGAGGAGCACTGTCTGAGTGATGTGAGGAGCATGGGTCTGAGTGATGTGAGGAGCACTGTCTGAGTGATGGGAGGAGCACTGTCTGAGTGATGTGAGGAGCATGGGTCTGAGTGATGTGAGGAGCACTGTCTGAGTGATGGGAGGAGCACTGTCTGAGTGATGTGAGGAGCATGGGTCTGAGTGATGTGAGGAGCACTGTCTGAGTGATGGGAGGAGCACTGTCTGAGTGATGTGAGGAGCATGGGTCTGAGTGATGTGAGGAGCACTGTCAGAGTGATACGAGGAGCACTGTCTGAGTGATACAAGGAGCACTGTCTGAGTGATACAAGGAGCACTGTCTGAGTGAGTTGGGCATCAGCAGCAGATATCAGCAGGACTCTCCACAAAGGACAGTGGGATCAGCTAAACTCCAGCAAGTGCTCGTCAGATGCTTGGGGACAAAGGCAATCTGTATCTGGGGACACCAAAGGCTCCAAGGATCTTTGCCACAGGGCACTTCTGTTTTCTTTTCCACCTGGTGAAGTGGGGGAGCTTGCAGTCTTCTCTGTGACTGCCCAGAATTGCTCTTCCTCCTTCTGCCACACACAATGCCTTCTGGTTCCTTTTCCTATCTTCTGGAAATTTCCTTTAGTCATTTTTTTTTCTCTACCTGTGTTTGGAAAGGAGAGATGGCCCTTTGAATTTAGTGGCTATTTTCTCAATGGAGTTGAGTCCATCTCACAGTGACCTGTTTCTAACAGGGGCAGCCGAAGGAATCCTTCATTAACAATTTCCATTCTTCTCTGTCATTAGGACTGATGGAGACTTCAGAGGAAGAGAGTGGGATTTCAAAAGGAAATAAGGAGCCAGGTGTTGTGGTGCATGCTTAATACCAGTGCACATGAGGCAGAGGCAGGGAATCTCTGATGGTTCTAGGCCAGCCTGGTCTACATAGTGAGTTCTGGGCCAGCCTGTTCTACATAGTGAGTTCTGGGCCAGCCAAAACTACGTAGTGAGACCTTATCTAAAAAAAATTATAATGAATTTCATCTTCTTAGGAAAAAGTCCTAGTGTTTTGTGTAAACTTTGACTCACTTTTTGGATCCTCTCACAAGGCTGATCCTTTCCTGGCCCTTAATTTTGAGCTGTGGAGTCACAGAGTAAGTGTGGCAGGCAGCTTTCATCTAACATAATAGCCACTTTTACTGAATTTTCGGTAGAATTGCATTAAAAGAAATCAATATGAAGAGAAAATACCTATCTACAAAACAAAAGCATCTCTTTAATAATGTGTTGTCTTTGCCTGTGTTAAAATATGGATATGGAGGGAAGGCAAGGTGTGTGTGGGGGACTGAGAGGAGTGGAGGGAAGGAGGGGAAACTTTGGTTGGGATGTATTGTATGAGAGAAGAATATATATGTATGTACACACACACACCCACACCCACACACACACACATACACGCACATACACACACCATACACACACATACACACACACACACACATACACACACACACCACACACACACACACA